ACTACAATCACTTGCCTGTGTGTCCTCTGCCACCACTGAGTCCCCATTAGCCCTCATCCTAATGCCTTCAGCCTCCCAAATGCTTAATCGCCAGAAAGAATTTCAATGAAACCAAAATCTGATGTTGGTGTTCTAACTAAAAAGCCTCCAAGTCTCCATGGCTCCCCCTTGCCAACACAACACCGTGAGGATGTGGCCTGGCCTTTAAGGCCCTGCACATGATGAGCCTAACAGTGATTCCCAAACACATCCCACATGGTCACACTTCTGTTGGTGCACAGTAGAAGAACAAGCCAGATGTTCACTTACTTCCAAGTCTTCCCATCTTGCCACTTGCTCACTGATTTGGGCCTGTTCCTCTCACTAACACTGCCTAAGAAAGAAGTCTGGGATTTTCAGAACCTAACCTTCCCTTCCCTATATTCTCCTCATCCCACCACTCCCTCAAACATGTCCCCCCTCGTCTCATCCCCACATCCCCATGTTTAGTTGATGTCTCAACTTTGATCATGAGGATTTCTGCAAGAGCCTGCTAACCTGTGTTTCCCTCCTAAGCTTACCAACTTTCTCAAGCCCCAAGTGACGCAAACATTTCTAAATCCTAAAACCACTGTCCATGGAAGCAGAGTAAAGGATGCCACAACTTGCCTATCCCACACATTTTCCCTTATTACCAGCAAAAAGCAGTGTGGTAAGAAATGGAAAATCACTGTAGAAGCAGAGGTGAGAGCTATATACCTCTTCTTTAGCAAACGGGTATGGATGACTAATCTAAACTTCATACATTAAAAGTCTAGTTACTGGAAACACTTTAGCCAAAAAATATCCCTGGCATACATACACATTACTCTATACTGCAGGGTTAACAACCAACCAAATCATGTTAAGCTAATAATGAGAAAGCCAAGTTGACAGCAATTGATAATTAAGCATCTAGATTCCCAGCCATTACAAACTGTCACAAATTCATGACCTCGCTGACACTACCCTGATAGCATGCTGTTTCCAAGATCTGCAGAAACTCCAAGCAGAGTGTTCATGCTAAGAGGGACCAGAGACACAACAGTGCTAAGCACAGCAAGGTCCTGGCCTCCCAGAGGAACACAGAATAGAGTCATCCAGAAACTCCAGCAGGTCACTAACAACACCAATCACATTTCGGTAACTTCACGTCTTTATGATTACTGGTAGCTAGCTGAAGTCATGTCTTGTACTTGGGAGCCCAGAATTTTGAGTCTTATATCCACAAGAACTGATAAAAAGACTGACAGAAAAATCAGAATAGGATCACCACCCTTCAGGAGGTCTTAAGGAGTACCGTTCATGTCTACAGAATCCTGATTCTAAAAGACAAATCTGATCTAGCAACTCACTAGCATAAAATTCTACAGTGGTGTTCCTCTGCCTGTGGAATAAAAACCAAAACCCCTGTTCAACCTGGTCCCCAAAGAAGGTCCTGCACAATCTGGCTCTAGCCCATAGTTTAGTGCTTACTACCCTCCCCCCATGGCTCCCGCCACATGCCCTACCACCCTCCTCACAGTTTTCTGGGCATGTCATGCTCTGGCTAACCTCCCTGGCCACCTATCTACACAGCTGTCTGAAATGCCCACATGCACTTCTTTCCCAACCCCTCCTACTTGACAAACTCTTTGCTAAGACCCATCTCAAGGGTCACATGACTTTCTACTCCCCAAGATGAATGGGGGGTCCACATCTGTGCTTCCATGCATCTGGCAGAATCTGGACCACCCTGTTTATCACACAATTAAGAATATAAGATCACTGTCTGATATTTTCATTACAATCTTTACTGTAACTCATTAGGAAGCACAAATTAGAACCTAAAACATTTCAAATTCAAGACAGTAGAAAAGTTATCTTAATTTGAGGTAATGGTAAAACAAAAATCCAGCTGGAATTCAGTTTTCCCATTAATTACTTTGAATAGAAGGCCTGGAGAGGGAGGGAGTGTCATTAACCAAGTTCATGCATGAGATGTGTGCTTATGTATGCACACCTCCTCAAACACACAAGAGGAAAGCTCAAAGCAAAGATGACACGCAGGCTTTAGAATACAAGGAATGTGTTAAAAACAAAAGCTGTACACTAATTTTTAAGCTTTGTTTCTTTTTCCCTTTCCTCTGTAGAATAACAGTCTTTTCTACTAGCAGCCTAAAATCAAATTTCTTTCATGATTTCTTGAGCTAAGATGTTGGACATTTTTATATGAAAATATTTATATGAGGGACTACTTGGGGAGTAGCAGAAGGCATTATAATTTTATTTGATTACACATTTGTTATTAATTTATTAAAGTTCCAAATGAAATTGCATCCCACCTGAGTTCTAGGAGTTGATATTCTGGGATTTAAAGGAATAATTCACTCCCTATTCTACTTCCCAAAACACAATATCCATTCTAAGTATATCTCTGAGAGTCTGATGGCTATTTATTGCATTTGGAAAATCAAAGTCATTGCAATCTTCCAAGGAAGTCAAGAGTGAAGGGAAATTGTCTCAGAAGCTATAACAATATGAAGCCAACAGAGCTGTGGAGTACACAGGTAGGCTGGGGCCAGATCATGCAGTCCTCTTCACAGGCCATGCAGGGCATATGGGCTTCACCCAAGTGCAGTAGGAGGACACTGACAGGTTTTGAGTAGACCATGCGGAGTGAAATCATATATCAAGTATTTTTAATGATTAACTAGGCTACCACCAATTCAAAGGCCTTGGTGATAACCCAGGTAAATGATGATGCTGGCTTGGAGGTGGGAGGGCAGTGGATGGATTCAAGATCCACTTTGGAAGAAGCATTGTTAGAACTTGATGATTTGAAGGAAGAGAAAGGTGAATATTAACATTTAACTCCCAGGTTAGAGCCTGAAAAGTAAATTAACAACTGTATACCTTAATGAGATGGAGGGGAGGAAGTAGGTCCAGAAAGGGGCTAATGATAGAAGATGAGCAAGAGTCAAAACTTAAGACACAGTAAGCTTGAGGTGCCCAAGTGAAAGCCATGTTTGCTTACTGCTATAAAAGGAATAAAAAGTACTGCACAACACAGAGGAGTCAGGTGGAATGATGGGCACCTGGTCTTCACTGGGGACTCTCATGGTGCTTGAATGTCCTACCATTGTGCCAACTCAAGTTGGGGTATGGCCACAGAAGGAGCTTATGGCACCAAATTCAGTCAGGACATACAGAGTCGCTTTTACTATGATCCTTAGTAACAAAATACCAGCCTTGGGATTAAGAACACAGTTAAATGGTATTTTCATCTGGAAGTGTGTGGCCACACACTTTCTTTAAGACTTAAGTTTTAGGTTTGCTAATTTTTTTCTTTTTTTTTCTTTCAATACTGGGGATTGAGCCCAGGGTCATTCTGGCTGGACTCAAATTTAGATCCTCCCACCTCAGCCTACTGAGTCACTGGGACTATAGGCCTGCATAACCTTTCCTGGCTAAGATTTCCCAGTTTCCTGATGCTGATGTTTAAGGATTCCCAGTAAAAGGGAATATCAGAATTTGGTCTTGGTCCCTGACACTTATACACTTGGGAGTACCATACTATCTAGGGGATTCCAGGATAGAGTATCCCATAGGAAATGTTAATCCAAGGTGGTAGTACAAGAAAACCTCTCAACAAAAATGGTCAGAGGATGGCCTATTTTACATGCAATGGTTTACCCAAATCATGTTCCACTCTTCAGGCATTACACCTGTTTCTAGACTAGAATCTGGGTTTTTATTATGATGGGTCTATTTTCTAATTTCCCCATCAAAAGACAAATCAAAATGTCAGTTCACAATCTGCTTTCTAATTAAAAGTTGAGCTATTTTTTTTTTAAAATCACATTTAACTAAACAATTCCACATGGCAATCCCACTGTGCTCTGCCACCTTGACTGATAGATAGAACAACTTGCCTTATTTAAATATCATTATCATTAGATACAGCTAGAGTAAGCTGATTGAATTCTTGTTTAGTATCATCCAGTTTACTCATAGAGTAAGATAATGCAGCATTTAAATAAAATACATTTCCTGCATTCAAGAAAACCCTCACAGAAAAAAGCAAAAAACTACTTTCAATACTGACTGGAAGGTCCCCAGGAGGAATATGCCTTCTTATGCAAGAAAGCTAACTGGTTGGAGTGTGGGAAACACCAGGGTTATACTGCATTTCTCAACAGAAAATCAAGACTCTATTTCTGAAAGGAACACTAAGGTGGGTAAAGGACAGAACTTCCAGGTTTTGTGGCACCAGCAGTTTGCCACAGTTTCCAGAGGGAAAAATCAAGATATCACATGGGAGGTAAAAAGTGAATTCAGTTCACATTGGCTCATGACTTTATACAAGACACTGAGCTTCTGAGTTTGTTTCCTGACTCTGAAAATGAGAAGTGACCAAATACTTGGTAGAAGAAGAAAATCTGTTGACATGTGTAGAAACACAAAAGGGAAACCATTTTACAAATGTAAAAGACAAATGCAATTACCTTGGGGCAGGAAGGGTTGGGACAAGTCTTCCAAGAGAATGGTAACCAAGAAAACCAATGAAGTGCAAAAGAATCTTCTTTGGGATATTTAACAGGTGCATGAACAGTTTGAGAAATGCAATCTGCTAACTAGTTCATTTAACTCAAAAAAGGTTTTGGTTCAGAAAGATGGGTAAAAATGCAACTGTTCATTGACTAAAGTAGCACAGAGGTTCATATGGATGTAAAAGGCAAGCCAGGCAGCAGAGAAGAGCAGCCATAACCACAGCAACACCAGAACCCCACCACAAGACCCCTTCTCATGCAACCCCCATTTGACACCAGCTAAAGGACACAGAGGTAAGCTGGGGAGGCACCTGAAAAGGTCTTTGAGGATAAATAGGAAAATGGCCAGAGAGAAGTAAAATATTACATACACAAAAGGGCACGTTTCAGGAATGACAAAGACAGTTATATCTCCCCAAAGATGAATTTCCCTTATAAGAGAATTTTTACCTTGTCTTCAAATTCAAGAATCACTGTTTCAATAATTTCAGCAAAATGATTTCCAGTAAAGGTATCTTGAATTATTCCTGTTGAGAAATTAAAAGAAGAGGTATAACAGGTACATGGGTAGGGAATACCCCTCCATAGACCCCTTCTTTGGAACCCCTATCAATACACGGCTCCCCTCCTCAAGAAACTGGCAGGGGATGAACTCTACCACCACTGTAAGCCACCCTGTCCCCATCAGACAGAATGAAAATCATGCAGCCCCTAAATTAGAGGGGTTTTCCTGCTCCAGTTCCCAGCAGGAATGGTCAAGCATTCCTGAGCAAACCATCCCCTAACTTAAGCTGGCAAGAGAGCACTTCTCTTTCCTACGACCAACAAACACCAATTTTAAAAGGAGAGATCCAGAGTTAGGTCTCAAAAATGAAACGAAAGTGAAGGAGATTCAAGATGGTGAGCTAGAGGGAAGTTGCATTCCTTGGCTCCATGACCTAGGATTCAAGCAGTGGGAATACTTTTGCTCTGTGAGTTATTAGAGAATCCTGGACAGCTGTACCCATCAGGACGCCCAGCCAGCGCACCCATGCAGACCCCCATCTACCAACATGGCATTCTCCCAGTTGCCTCCATCTTGGGACACTGCAACCATTGCCACAGTCCCCTCCACATGGTAGCCTGCAACTGGGGACACTGGACAGGATGTAAAAGCCCAGCCAGGCAGCAGAGAAGAGACAGTCGCCCGCTGTAGCACTATACACCATAGAGCTGCATCTCCGAACATGCAGCCCACTGCCACTGCCCAGCCATCTCTAAAAGCGGTCACCTCCATCTTGGGACACCTTCATCAGCATCTTGGGTTATGCTCACTACCACCATCTCCATATTTAGTCGGGGCAACTCCCATCTTGAGATACTGGCTGGGACCTAAAGGCAATATTAAGGTACCAATAGTCCTCCAACCACGCTGCGCCCCCACACCCCCCGCCCGCACATAGCCACTATCCTGCACAGTCCTTGCAGCTACGTGGCCAGCCGGTAGCTTGCAAAGGCTGGTATTAATCTGCCCAATACAAAACAGCTCTCTGCAATAGTTACACAGGCCCCAGACCGCAGTCCAACAGGACCTCAGAGAGAGAGGTTCCTGATTGGGAAATAGAAAGGGAGGAGGTGAGTGTGGTACAATTTGAAGACTAAATTAGAGACCAGTAATCGTGGGGTCTACAGGGGATATAAAGGGATAAGACCAGGTATCCACATCACACAAATGGGCTCCAAAGGAGATCCTTGGGTGCAGTCTTCCAATTAGGAACCGGAGATGCTATATCCTGTTGAGAGCCACAGCCGAAGGGGCCCCAGCAAACTTCCAGCTGCC